TTAAGTCACCGAATGGCCCTCGAAGCCCTCAAGGGCCTCCTTCAAGGCCCCTGGGGGGCCCAGGGCGGGGCCCTCCAAAAATGCCCGCGGGCTCGAGGGTCACCTTCTACCCCCCCCCCCCCCCCCCCCCCACCCCCCCCCCCCCCCCCCCCCAGGGCGCACGCGAAGGCCATGGGGGGTCCTTGAGGGCCAGGGCCTTCAAGGACTTCATCAGGTCCCCGTTGAGAAGAAGGGCTGCGCTAGTATTACACTGACGCAGCCAATGGGTGCGCGCCGAGGCCTTCACGCCCTTGTCGGGGCACGCGCTGCGCAGGGATGCGAACGCGGCCCTGATGTGCTTCTCGATCAGCAGCAGCCTGTCGCCGCCGCCCTCGTGGAAGCACGTCTCCGCCTCGTGGCAGCATCTGCGGGGGGGTTGGAGCAACGACCCAGGCGAGGCACAATGGGCGCTGTGAGCGTGCGGCGCATGGCCACCCATGCCGAAGCTCGCTGCAACGTGGACTCGCCGCCATCGCCCTCCAACGCGCCGATGGCGTCCGACACCGCGCTGGACGCGCGCCTGCGGTACCTCAACACCGTGCCAGCGTCGACCTGAACCTCGATGTCGCCGACAGGGGCAGCGACCCGACCCACGACGGGGAACATGCTGTTGGCCTGCGCCTGGTTGGACTGCCTGAGTGCGGCGGCAGCCTCGCGCACCTCGCCAGCCACGCGGGCCTCGAGCGCGTCCTCCCTGCTGCGCCCGCGACCAGCCGCCGCCCGCGCAGCCGATGCAGCCTGCAGATCGGCGCGGGCACATCGGCGAACTGCGACTTCTGAGGTCCAGCATCGCCCGCCGACTCCATTCGCTGGTCACAAATCGGCTCCACGCCGAGAGCTGGCGGCATGCCGTCTGGCGCCGAGAGCGCCCTTGCCATCCGACGCCTGTCCAAGCCGCACTCGCCAGAAAGATGGCGATCCCGTGCAATGGCGGCCAGGAGCCTGTAGTGCTCAAGCTCCTCCCCGCTCAGCTGAGAATGCAACGCTGACAACTCTATCGACGATGCTCCAGACACGCTGCCACCGTTCATGTACGTAAACGCTCGCCACGTCCATTGCTGGAGGCTGTTGTGCCCGCGCCGTGGGTCGCACGTCAGGCGCTTCCGCTTCTGGGCAGGTCCTCTCTGAAGGCCTGCGGGGCACGGAGCTGCGGAAACGTCGTAGTCACCCGCCGTGTGCGCTGTGTAATGAGCACTCACCTCCTCCACATATTCAATGTGGGTCCAGACTCTGAAGCGCGCACCCCTCTGGTTTACCGAATGCGGCCGCTCCACGTCAGCGGCGCCCATGTCGGCCATGACGAGGGCGCCCTTCAGCTCGCTCCTGGCTTCTGCCGAATCCAATCGGCCAGCGTAGAAGCTGCAGAAATCCTCGGTGCACTGGCCCAGAAGGCAGCCCCTGGTCTCCCCGAGGACCTGCAGAACACCTGGGTCCTTCAGAGAATATAGCAGCGACATCGGCCAATTCCGATTGGCCCTGTAGACGAGATGGCACGCAACCCCGCCCATCCGTGCCAACATGCGGTGCACCTTCAGTGCAGTCGCCTCCGTGCGGCCCTGCAGTGGGCACCACGCTGCAACGTCGGATATGGACAGGTACGCGTCGCTCATCAGCTCAATGGTGTCGGCGTCCTCATGCGCAAGCCACGTTTCGTAAGTCCTGGGCTGCCCGATGGACACTCTGTGCTGCTGAGCCTTCTCGAATGAAGAGCCGCTGGTAGCAAGCTGCTTCAAGGCGCGCGCGTCCGCGCGCGCAGCCAGCACCGTGCCCAAGGACATGTCATCTGCGACGGTGCCGCTGAGCATCCACGCGCGGCTGCTTGCAACTCGCTTGTCCTGTTGCTCTTTGAATGCGTTCTCGTCGTCGGCGTCTGCTCCGCCCTCAGCGCCCGGGGCGTCGACAGAGGGCGCAGGCCGCTCGCCGCCGACGCCGTCGCCTCCAGCAGCAACCTGGGGCCCAATGGCTCACCTGCGCCAGCGCGGGCGCCAGCGGCATCGCGCGGCGCCGCGGGGGCCTTCCCAGGCATCGCGCGCAAGTATGATGCCTCAAAGATGCCATGAACAGCAGCTGGCGCGCCAACGGATCTGTGGCTCCGCGTCTTGTCGACCCAGTTGGCTCTGTTCAGCACGTCGATCCTGCCGAAAAGCGCTGGGGCGCCGTACCGCCGCATCAAGAACAAGGTGTGCTTCGGCGAGCGGCAGCGCCCTCTGCAATAGTGTTCGATGACACCATGCTTACGGACATCGCCATTGCACATGCGGGACACCACCTCCTTGCGATGCACAGCGGTCGGGCCATTGCTGTTGAAGTGCAGCCCCCATGCCGCGTCACGGTGCGCAGTGGCATCTGCTGGGGGCACGCCCCGCTTGACCGCGGGCTGCTCTCCATGGAGCAGCCTGGCCTGGTGCCTCAACCCCAGGAGACTGCCCCCTGTCAACGACATCTGGCAACGAACGAGGTTCGTGTCGAAAGGCCGAACCGTCTGGAGCGAGCTCTCAGCGACCTTCTTCTTATTGTGAGCACGGCGCAAGAAGACAATCTGAGATCGGAGAGGCACCGTCTCACAGAAGGCGCGTTCGTTGCGCAGGTTGCCGCTGGCAGCGTCGCAGCACGCGACGTCGACCTGCCGTGGGGACCTCAGGTCCAACAGCTGATCCCAAGGCAAATCCTACTGACAGCGCAACGCTGCGTGGATGACCTCCGCGGTGCTCCCCTCCAGCACGCTGAGGCGCGTGGGCAAGGTGCCGCACGCGTGCAAGAACTGGCATGCATCCGCATGCCGCCGACGCATCACGATGCCGAACGCACCCTTGACGACGAAGATCTCGCGCGAACCGGCGGTCCGCTCCTCGATGACGTCGTCATCGTGCACTGTGGACACAGTGGTGCCGAGTTTCATGCGCGCGCCGTCGTACTTCCTCTTCCTGAAGAAGACCGACGGCGCCACCGCGTGCGCGGTGTCGTCACGAGACGTGGCCCCAGACGCAGCAATAACTCGGCTCACGAGCGAGACGACCTGCGTCTGGGCAGCGGCAAAGGCAGCGTGAGCAGCTGCGTAGACGCGCCCCCTGAAGTGCCCGCGCGCAATGCCGAGGCGCTCAGCCATCGCCGTGGCCGTCGCCATCGTGACGGTGCCACCGTCGGGGTAGCGCTTCTCCACCAGCACCCGCGTCAGGCTGGCCAGCGAGCCCTGCAGGGGCGCCCTGCCGACGCCGCCGGCAGCAACCAGCGCCGCCTCTGGCTGGGCCTGCACTGGCGCCGACTCCAGCGGCGCGAGGGCCTGGGCATCGCCCTGCTGAGGGCTCGGTCCCCTGCCAGGGCTCTCGGCGAGCCAGTCCTCCTCCTGTTCAGCAGGCGGCTCGCCCTGCGCAGCGTCGCCGTCCTCCAGGCCGCCATCTGGAGTCGGAATGCTCGGCGCACCCCATTCTTCCTCGCTGAGGAAATCCTCGGAAGGCGAATCCATCGCGGGGAACCCCAAGCCGAAGCGTGTTTGAGCCAAAACGGTTACGACATACTTACATGTTGCAGAACAATTGGTGCATCGCGAATTTGGCACACCCTCTCACGCATTCCGTCGACCTCTTGGAAGGTACATTGCGGGCGCTGCGTTGGGGGCCCTTACAGTGACCTGAGAACCCGCTGTTGCGACCATCAACAGTGCCCATTGCAAACACATGTATGGGGACTCAGTTGGGGCTTGTCTGATGCATGCAGAAGCGGCCTTCATTATATTTGGGAAATGCCAATCGGCTCGACGACCGTCACCCCCCATGGGGAGGAAAGGAGAAGCGCGCGGCGCACATGTGGCATCTAAACCCTGCGAGACGAGCCCCCAACTGCACACAACCTCACGCGCACGACATGCCAGCGCGAGTTCATGTCGGATCCCCCACGGTCACAGAATACGAAATACCTCTCTCCGCCTCCCCCCAAAAAAAAACAAAAATGGGCATCGCATTTTCCAGAGCCACCCGAGCGGCCCATCAGACCCCCCACTCCGAAAGGCTGCGCCCGACGAGAGCGCCATCTGACCCCCAACTCAAAAAGGACGCCGCTGAGGGCGTCGAAACCCATCAAACACCCCGAGACCAAGTAGGCTGACTCGGGAAGTCTCAACCATAGCCCGCATCGCACCCCTGCCGCCCCGCCCCGCGCCTCTCGCAGCGCGCGCGCGGCGGGGGGGCGACTCCGGCCGCGCCGGCCACGAGGGCCCCGCCGCCGCCGCAGCGGACGGAGAGGCCGTAGAACAGCCACTTCCACTGCCCGCGGTCGGCGCGCTCCGAACTCTGACCCCCCCGCGTCGCGGGGGCCCGCGCCGTCGAGCCGTTCGGCCGAGGGCTCGACCCACCCGCCCCTGGAGACCGCGAGCTCCACGGCAGGGGGCCGCCCGCCAAGGGCGCCCCCCAGAAGGCCAGCAGGGCCCAGAGCGGCGCGCCGCGCATTGCGCGCAGGGCGGCCAAGGGTCAGGGCACGGGCGAGTCGCCTTAGCCGACGTCGCTGGACGTGCCGGGCGAGGTCGCGAGCGCAGGAGCGCGCTCCGCCGGCGAGGCATGGGCGGCCCCGCAAGGGGGAACTCGCTCCGCCATCGCGACTCTCGCTCTGACCCAGGCCCCCCTCGGAGCCGCCGGGGCCCCCCGCCCCCGCCGGCAGCGCCCCCCGCCCCGCCCCGAGGCCGTCGGGCTCGAGGCGCGGGGTTGCAGGAGGCGCTTTCTCTGCTGCTGCTAAGGTCGCGCCGTCTGTCGCTGACCTCTCCGCCCCCCCGCAAATTTCCCAGGCTGCCAGTGGGCTGCCGCGCCGGGAGGGCTGCTCGACGCCCCCGAGTTTCATTCGCCCGCGGCCCCCGCGGCGCGTCGCATCGGGGCGTCTCTCAACGGCGGGGCCGCCCACCCCGCGATCCATGGCCGCGCCCTCTGGCCCCAGAGCTCGCGCCGGCCTCGACGCTCGCGCCGGGGCGCGTTCGCGAGCGCCGGCGGTTGAACCGCGCCGCCCGCAGACTTGCGCCGCCGGCCGCTATCGCAGTCAGACGGCCCGCGCTGGGCCAGCCGAGCCCCATTAGCATAGGCTCGCGCGCGGGGCAAAAGTCACGCCCTGCTTGGAGGGCACTTGCTGCCACATCGAATGGCCGCGTCCGACCGCAGTCCGCCCTGCTCGCGGTGGCGCGAGCGACTTGGGTCGCGCTTCAATTAAGTTCGATTCCTTTGGGGTCGCGCCCCACGGCTCGGCCACCCACGTCGCAGGTCTCGAGGCCTCCATCACCTCCTCCTCCTCCTCCTCCTCCTCCTCCTCCTCCTCCTCCTCCTCCTCCTCCTCCTCCTCCTCCTTCTCATCATCAACATCGTCATCATCCTCCGTGCCTGCCCCCGTGCGGCAAAGCCCAGCACTCCCGCGCCTGGGTCGTTGGCCTCTGCGGCAGCCCGGGCTGCGGCCCTGGGCGGGGCTCCAGTCGGGGCCCCGCCCCAAGTTGAACCTCTCGACATGAAGTCAGGGCGTCTCGCATCAAGCGGGGCTGTCCAATGGCCTTCTGCCCGCCTCACCGCCGCGCCTGAGTCGCGGGTCATAGACCCTCAGGATGTCCGCAAGGATGCCTCTCGGGCCGCGGCCGCAAGGCCCGGGGCGGGGGCGCCCGAAAAAATCCACCCGCCCGCGCCGCCGCGCGCAACGACGGGGGCGAATGAGGGAGAAGCACGGTGAGCAGCCGCTACGCTGGCCGAGGTAGCGGAGACGGCTGGCGCCGCGGTGGCGCCAGTCGGCGCCGAGGCAGCGTCTGGCAAAGGCGCCGGGGGGGCCCCGCGACCCCTGAAGGGCCGCGGCGAGTCGCGAGAGCCCGAGCGACCCGCGCTTCTCGCACGAGGCCCTCCGCGCGCAGCCGAGGCGCTCAAGGTGTCGCCCGCGATCGCAGGAGCGGGGCTTGGCAGGGGATCGGGGGGGCCCCAACCGCAGCAGGTCGCTTTGGCTCGAGCGAGCAACGCGCAGGGGGCCAGTAAATCTAAACCGCCCTAAGTGTCACCTAGAACATCTGCATCTGGCACCTAGAACTCGCCCGTCTTCGGGCCAACTGGCCTCGACGTAGCGCGGCCCTGAGCCGATGAGGACCTACCTTCCCGTGGAAGGAATACTCGACGTGAGTAGCCGCATGGCATTGTTGTATTGTTTCTAGATTGGATTCGCATTGGGTCATATTGGGGCCATAGGTGTCATATTTGAGTCGTTGGATGATCTCGGGGTCGATTCGGCGTCAAGTGGTGCTTCTGGCTCCGTCTTAGCACCACAATGGCTTTTCTTGGGGTCGTGTCGGGGTTCGCATGGTCCACCTTGGGATCATCTTGGATTCACGGATTCGTTCGGGAACTACACTTTGGCCACGAAGTTGGGGTCGTCGTAGGGCCCTGTTGGAGTCGTCTTGGGACCGTCGCGGGGTCGCGGTGGATCGCGATGTTGTCAATGGGCCATCTTAGTGTCGCGTCAGGGTCCAGGGGCCACCTCAGGGCCGCGGTGTCACGTGAGGGTCGCCTTGGGATCGCATTGCGATCGCGGGCCGCGACGAACTCCCTCCTGCTCGCCATCCTGTGCGGGGGGGGGGGGGGGCAGCCGACCAGCGTGATCGCCGGCTGGCGGCGCGGGGTCGGTGTTCTGACCTTGGTGACAACATCGATGCTTGTGAGGGTCGCAGGGCGTTCGGCGCCCCCGCGCAACAGAAAAAGGGACCTAGGAAGGATGGGTAGCGAGGAGGGCGAGGAGGAGGCGGAGGAGGAGGAGGAGCAAGTAGGAGGAAAGGGAGGAGGAAACGGAGGACGACAATACATATGGATACACTAGAAGGAGGAGGGGGTGGGGCAGGAAGTGGACCAAGAGGAGGGGCAACAGGGGAAAGAGGGGTTAGAGGAGAGAAGAATGATAACGAAGAGGACGAATAGGAAACGGAAGACTTGAAGGAGTGGAGGAGCATGAAGAGGCTGAGGGCGAGGCCAAGTTGGCAAGTTGTTGCTTGCCCCCGAGGTACCCAGCGGCCTCGTGAGCCCCCCGGAGGCCCATAACTTGTCAGAAACGTAAGGCAATGTACCGACAACAATCAAACCATAACAAATCACTCGGCCCCCGATCCTCGAGCGTCGGGGTGTCGATGCTGCCTCTGCCGCTGTTGCGAGATAGTGCCTCTGCCGCTGCTGTTGCAGTTGTTGCAGCTGCTCTTTTCGCCGCTGCTGTTTCTTATGATGCTGGCTTCGCGCTCTGATGCTTCTCCTGTTGCTGCTGATGCTGATGTACCACCCTCCCGAACAAAACAACTTGATGCAAGTAAGCATTGGTCCATGGGGTGTTCTTGGGATCGTTGCGACGCCGCATTGAGTTCGCTACGTTTTGGGATCACCTTGAAGTCATATTGGAACCATATGGGAATATTTCGGAAGTGATGCATCGAGGACCGAAGAACCCACATCGGGCTTCGAGGATTGACGGCCGCGGAACAATATACAGGATAGCATCGGGGATGGAGCATCGCGGATCGGCATCGCGGGTCGACGATCGAGGTGCAGGGATCGAACATCGCGGATTGAACATCACGGGTCGAAGATCGAGGAACGAGCATCGCAGATCGAGCATCGAGGGCCGAATGCCACCAGCCCTGTAGAGCGTGAGGTGGTCTAGTTAGGGAGCTCACCCTTCTTTCTTCTTAAACAGCCTCTCTCCCTACCCTCTCCCCTAGGCCCTGCTGCAAAGACTCTGCAATACCCTGCGAAGCCCCCCTGCAAAGCCCCTTCAAAGGCCACTACAATACCTTGCAAAGATCCTGCAAATACCCTTGCAATACCCTGCAAACCAGACCCTGCAATGCCCTGCGAAGACCCTTGAATACCCTGCAATGACAGTGCAATGCCCTGCAATGACCCTGCAATCCCACAAGCCCTCCGGGCGTGGGTCGTCGAAGGGATTCTCTCTTCCAGCCCCAGAATACAATACATACAAGTGGCAAGTCACGTGCGTGCCCAAGCCCCGAGAGGGCCCCCCCAAAGGGCCTCAAGAGTGACCAAGAGGACTCCAAGAGGGCCCGAGAGGCTCTGGGAGAGCCCCAAGGGGACCCCACGATGACCCCCACGAGGGCCCCAAGAGGCCCCCCCCGACGGATGCTACAACTGGGGTGTGCGTTTGTGTGCGTTGTAGCATCCGTTGGGGGGCCTGTTGGGGCCCTCTTGGGGGCCTCTGGAGGCGGTGGTGGAGCCCGCGGAGGGGTCCAAGAGAGCCTCGGAAAAGGGACCCAAGAGGGCCCCAAGAAGGCACCCGACGGACGCTAGAACCGGGGGGGTGCGTTGTGGCATCCGTTGGGTGCCCTCTTTGGAGCAATCTTGGGGCCCTCTTGGAGACCTACTGGGGCGCTCTGAAGGCGCGGGGGGAGCCCGCAATGGGGCCCCGAGGCTGCCCCAAGAGAGCCCCAAGAAGGCACCCGACGGATGCTACAACACGGGGGGC